GAGTTGTGAGGGGGGGGGAGGGAGGGAGGGAAACCTGAGTTATGTTCTGTCTTGATGAGAAGTCGGGAGCAAATCTTGGAGCCTCGGCTAATAAATCATGTGCTTTTTCCAAAAGCACCAGCCTTGCTCAACTACACACTACCAGCTAGGCTGGTTGCACTTCTCACTTGTTATGATTGTCTTGCCGTTATGTTGATCGGCCTAAATTGAGCTAACACTATGAGACTCGTATAATAGGAGGATTTCAGCGGAAGCATGTTTGGGCCTTAAAGTAAATGGACATACATAGTACATACATATATTTTGCTTCCCCCTTCCTTCCTACTCTTACCCTCGTACTTGCTTTTTCTTTTGCTTGTCTTATTATGGATGGAAAAGAGGAATAGGTAGCCCCTAACCTCATTGTATCCAGCAGGATTTGAACTCATGACCTGTCTATCAAAACTTGTATCTGTGTACCACCAGTCTGCCAGAAGGCAGGTACTCTTACCCTTACATACTGTGAGCACCATCGACCCTTGAACCACCAGCTAAGCGTCGCCTCTGGGAAACGACCACCCTCCTCGGATCCCAGGAGTGACACAGAGATCATTACCTGCGATGTTGTCGCAGACTTTCCTCGTCATATTCGTGTCTGTGCCGACGGGCCTGCCTCAGTCCCAGTGACAGAAGTGCCGTGACTTTGTAGGGAACGGTGTCTCCTCCTCCTTCCTCTTAGGTAAGGAGCAGATTGTCTTTGCCCCTCACCCTATAGGCTATGGTCCCCTAAACTTCTTCCCTCAAGACAGATTCCTGAACAGGGGGAAGCGGTTAGGCTTCATGTAAGCCTCCGTCTCAAGAGCTCTTTTTTGAGAAGGCGTTGTAGGTCTGCCCTGCCCATCTAGCTTCTAAAGCTAAGTTGTTCCTGATAGCATCAGGCAGGGCCAAGTGGTGGAGGATTTGGGAGTCCGTCACGCCGTGGCTGGCCCGGCTGGGTACCTGTTTGTAGCCGTCTACTTTGGCTTTCAGGTCCATACTCTTCTATGTTAAGTATGGCGTCAGAGGCTTTGAGAGCTTTGTTCCTGTCTGTAAATCTGTCCATCTGTACCCTCATAAAGTCCTCAAAATAAGTATTCCGGGAATGTGCTATAACGTTGCTCTCAAACCAGGCTGCCTGTGCTTGTGAGCGCAGCCATGTCAACCAATCACTCTCCATGACCATGCTAATGGCCACAATCTTGTCCTCCTCCTCGATGCTCTGCACGTGCACGTAAGTTCTGGCGGTGGCCTCCCGAGTCCCAACCCAGTAGATTTCCATCCTTCCTCCCATGGTAAGTAAAGGAGAGCTTCACCTTCATCCTACTTTTTTTTGTATCCCTTGTGGCTGGCTATCTTCTCCTGCACCGGCGGGTCCTCTCGCCTTTCCTCATCCCTTGCCATCACTTTTTCCATCTCCTCCGTCTCATCCGCCGCCTCCACCACGCCCTTGTCCTTCCTCGGTTGATCTTCCTGAAGAATTTGAAGAGTGAGTCAGCAATTCCCTTACCCGACCCTTGAACTGCCGCTTTGTCTCCCTCTTCGGTTCCTCATGCAGCTTCCCGTCTGCTAGGCGCAGTCCGTCCATACTCTCGGCGTTATCAACGGCTATGGTGGCTATGGCGGCATCCCCCTCTATCTCTTTTGCTGATATATTGGCCCTGAGACTGGCACGAAGGGCTCAGCCATGGCTTTCTGTTGCTGCGCTAACTCCTCCTCCCTCTTCTCCGCCTGCTGCAGCTTAGTTTTCAGGTCACTGATTTGTGCCTCGGCCTGGCTGCTATCCTCCACTAGGTGCTCTTCTCCCTTACCTTGTGGCTGAGGGCCTGTAATAGCATCCATGAAGTGTCTAGAAGGGGGTGCTCTTATCACCCCTTCTAGCGGAGGGACTGGTTTTCAAAGGGGAAGGGGGGGGAAAGGGACGCTTCCACACCTCACCTCATAGGCCTACCAACTAGAAGACCTGAAATTTGTTGACTTTGCCCAGATTGTCAACGACTCTTGACGCTTGCTACGGGGTTATGGAGAACACCCGTTGCCCAGCCAACAGCCAGTTGAAGGACCGGCTGCACAGTTCTCTGGAATTATTTAAGGTCGCAAACAGGATAACGTGGCTGGATGCAGCCAACACTCCCCCTCAACACTTAGATCGGGCAGCGCTCGTGCTATCGTGGTTCACCATGCTGCTCAGTACCAGTCCTAGAGCTAGACAGGTTGTTTAACGAGTGTCCGCTGCTCATGCCTGTGCAGTTACTTTACACGCTTTGCCTTCGGCAGGTTGACGCTACCTATCTAGACCATGGATCGCCTACCTGAGCGACCTAAGACCTAGTACGACCAGCAGCGAAGTCGCCAAGAAAGACACCAGCAAACAGTCATGCGGAATTGAAAACACTCAAGGCTAGGGTTAAGAGGTGCGTCATGCGATAGCTCAATCCCGATGTTTGACGGTCACTCTGGAAGTTTGCAGCCACCAAGTGAGTCGCCTTCCCTAATCCTGGCCTCTTCTTCTTCGGCCTTAGCCATTCACTTTTCTCGTTTGCCCACCAGCTTTGCACTTTACACACCGGCTTTTCACTTGTGCACCATCCAGAGAGGTAACGAGAGTCTGCTCTGATACCAAGTGCTTTAAGACCATGCATCCCACAACTCTTTCTCACCAAGCTCACACAATGGGAGCGCACACACAAAGCACATGTGAACTGTAAACTCGAAGATAGTCACAGCCAATCAACTCAGTTACACAAAATTGTCTTTGTACATGGTGGGCGGGTATGACCGCCGGGCGAGATCCCTCAGGTATGGGCTCTCTCTCTCTCTCTCTCTCTCTCTCTCTCTCTCTCTCTCTCTCTCTCTCTCTCTCTCTCTCCTTCTCCAGACTTTTCCTAAGCCTACAGGTACCTTCGGGAATCTTCCTATGTTGGCGTGCTGACACTAACCAATCTGGGACTCAGGAATACAGTACATGCAACCGAGACTGGACTGGAACTGGAGCTGGAACTGGAACTGGAACTGGGACTGGAACTGGAACAGGAACTGGGACTGGGATCACACTGGTGAAATCCTTTCGTTTACTTGTCAATTTACTTACTAGGTTACAAAGGGCATCCAGCCGGGTACCCGAGCAGGTCGCCTAGGTTGCCCGGGGTACCCGGAGGTATGTAAAACTCCGGGAACTTTTTTTTTTCCCCTCGTTGCCTCGTTGCAGGGCTTTTCTGTGCCTGGCGCTGCCGCTGAAAGCAGCCCAAACCTGGGCTCTGTTTTGTTTTTCAATGTCGTCCGTGGGGTGGGGGAAGAGGGGTATGAATGGTGCTTAAAGGGGCTTAAAGGGGCTTAAAGGGGCTTAAAGGGGGGTGCCTTAGTTTGATTTTTAAGTTTCTTTTTCTTTTTTTTCTTTTTTCTCTTTTTTCTCTTCATTTCACACCACTACCTCCTAGCCTGTTTTTCTCGGCCCTGAATTTCACTGCGCACCATGTTTTGGCAAGCCTGGGTCCCATTGTATTTTCTTTTCTGGTACTCGTGGAAAATGAAATAAACAAACAAAAAAATAAACGAAAGAAAAGGTAAAAAATCAACTACGGTAGGGACGTGAAAGCAGCTCGATGCAGAACATTGGGCACATGTGAGAGTATGCTCTCCCCAACGGGCGTTACAGCCATCAGCAAAACATGGCAGTAGGAAATTAAAAAAATAAAAATAAAAATAAACGAAAAAAAAAAAGAAAAAAAAGCAACAACTGCTTGGACGTGAAAGCAGCTGGACAGTGGATACATATCGTTGGGTTCATGTGAGAATCCGCCCTCTCAACGGGCGTTACAGCCCTCAGCAAAACACTGCAGTAGGGGGGGGGGGGGGGGGGGGGGATGAAAAAAAGGAAAAAAAAGCAACGACTCTTTGGACGTGAAAGCAGCTGGATACAGACTCATTACAGAGCATTTGGTACATGTGAAAATCTGCCCTCCGAACGGGTGTTACAGCGCTGAGCAAGACACGGCAGTAGGGGGGAAAAAAACTTAAAAAAAAAGAAAACAGCAACAACTCCTTGGACGTAAAAGCAGCTGGATACAGAAGCTTGAGTACATGTGAGAGTGCCCCCTGGGTTGCAAGTGTCAGCTGTCCATGGAAAGCGCCCTGCCTCGTTGGCAGGGCACAAACTAAATTAGAAGAAAAAATAACAAAACACAAAATACCTTTCTCGGCCTTTTGGCTAAGATCAAGTGTAGTATCGTTCTGATCAATTTAATATCTGATCCATGGTCCATCGGAAAAAAAAAAAAAAAAAAAAAAAAAAACGAAACTAGCAATGATTCTGGGCAGATGCATTCCGTGTGGAAGCACTACTGTGAGCACACCTCCTTGGTGGCTTTTCCCGGATGTCCTTCCTTTTTTTTTTTTTTTTTTTGGACGTCCATCCTTTCAACTCTGCAGTATTTTTTCCCTTCTTTTTTTTTTTCTTTTCAATCGGGCCCACAAGACCCAAACCTTTTCTTTTCGCCAACCCTCGCCCCGACTCCCGAACTTTTCGGTTGAGGTCATTTTTCGCAACTGAGACTGCAGCTGTGGAAGGTAGTGGTGGTTTAAGCAATTCTGAGATGACCCTCAGCCAAAAGCTGTTTGCAACTTTGGATTGCAATTCTATGCAGCATATTGTTTTTCGATCTACAAAAAGGAAAATTGCACTGGGGCTGCGCTCCCCCGGATGTCCTGCCCAACCAGGCATCCAGGCATGGGTCTGCGCAAGGCTGCAAGCCATTCATGCCTGGGCACAAGGGAATATATTCAAAATAACTTTAAATTTTAAATAAGTTTAAATAACCCATTTGACTTACGATTGTTAATAATTTTTATTAATTTGTTATCAATTTACTTGTCAATTTAGTTCTTAGAACGTTTTAGTATTTACTTATTTACTTACCAATCTGCTAATCAGTGGCAGGAAACCCCAAGTATTGAAGTCATAAGATTTCTAAGTTCTAACTTGTCTTTTACGGTTCTACTGTTTTAGTCCTTTGATTTTTTTCTGTTCCCTTCGTGCTCCCTTCATGTAACGTGACCTTTGTCTTAAATGACCTCAATTTCACTGATTTGCGTGCGGGCCCGTGGTTTGGTGTTTCTCGCCTGTGTGGCACGTGTAGGCGGGCAACCTGCAAATGCAGTTGCATGGATATGATAAGGAAGCAGTTGATCTACTTTCTAGAATGCTCAGCTTTAATCCTGAGACTCGGTGCACGGCAGAGGAGGCGCTCTCCCATACGTATGTGAGTCAAACAAAAAACTTTGCCGCTTTCCCTGGTATATAGTTCTGTTGTTCCTGGGGAATGAACTTGAGATCTTTCCTTTGCCCTGGCATCCAGCAGGGGACTCTGATACGAAGGTTTCGGCACTAGGCAGGGTCTAGGGATTGGAGTGGATTGGGATACGATGGTCATGGTCTCGGGGTTTTCATGATTTGGTATCCTTCTGGTCCGGATCTTTCGTTATGCTTTTCGCTTATGATCAGGGTTGTTCTTTGTATTCAGATCAGCTTACAGCTTCAAATACCTTTATGCTGCAGCAATGCGGAAGGCTTAGTGAGTGGACAGTGGACTCTGTACTTTTGTTTCATGCTGACTCTGTACTTTTGTTTCATGCTTGGTCTCTAATCCTCGTCTGTATATGGATGTCTGTGCGTTTACTGGGTGGGGTGGGGGAAGGGGCTGCTTTCTGTGTGCCTGTGTACGCATGCATGTGTGTGTGTGTGTGTGTTTTGGGTGTGCATGCGAGCGTATTTTGTAGGAGGTGGAGGGGCGGTGAGGTGAATGGTTGTCTGTATTTGCCTGCTTTTTCGTTCATTGTGCAGTTCAATAGCATAGCAAGGCAATCTGCTCCTTTTCAGGGTACAGCAGAGGAAGTCTCTTTTCCTCCTCTCCCCGACGACAAACATTTCTGGCAAGTCCGTGAGCCAGCAGTTGCACTTGGGCTCCTCGAGGTCCGTTTCATCAGCTTTACCGTCCGTCGCTTGTGCCCTCTCTTGATTGTTTGAGTGCGAAATTTGTACTGTTATTATAGCATGTTTTCCTGACGTATCAATTGCCATGCTCTGGATCTGTGTTGTCTCATCTACTGCATCAGTTCTCCACAAAAGCGAAGTAACTTCTGGAGCCACAGCCTTGCATGCAGCAGTATCAATTCCTCGAATGTCCTCCCGTGAGAACCTGCCTTGCCTCAGCAGCTGCGTTCGCATGTTTAGAGGAGTACCTCCTCTCTATAGGAAAATGCTAGTCGCGTTAACCACAACCTATTGGGACAAGGCTGTCTGCCGCTTGACAGCGCTTGTAGTCCTGTATGAATTGGTTCATGCATATTTTTTTCATGAAATAATTCCCAGAGCTTTGTCTTCTACACGTCTTCGCTGGCCTCTGGTGACACAGCCGCTGCGAATCATTCATCTTTCCCGCCCACCCCATTGTGGGGTGGTCTCTGCTTCATTCTTTTCTTGGACAGGGAGCGAAGCCGACGAGTGGAAGGAAAAGAAGTTTGCAAACTTTGCATGCCAATTGGCAATTACCATCATGTTATTATTCCTGTCACAGTCTGATTGCTCTCCTCGATCCCCTCACCTCCTTTCCTACAGAAGCCATATCGGGCTATTCCCCGTGGTTCTCTTGGCCGTGCTGTCACGTAATGACCATGCTGCTTGCTCCGCCTCGATCTCTCTTTTGTAACTCCTTCTCGATCACATGCATATCATGCTCTGCCCCATAAACCTCTCCTTCTCTTTGCCACTACACACTTTCTTAATACCAAATCATACATATTACTATTTTCTTACACCACCAGTACTTGGCCCATATATCCGCTGCGGGCCATCTTCGTATATGTGCCGCAATTTTCGGGGCCTTCAAAGCCATCGGCCCGTCGATAAAATTCACCAATGGCCCGCGCCGGTTTGTATTTTGGCACGCAGGGCATCCCCAGGGTCGGAGAAAAGTGCCTCGGACTGAAGTACTGGTGGTTTAAATCCCAAGTCATGCCGCGGTGTGTGCTCATGTATGCCGCACTGTGTGCTCGTGTAGGGTAAAGCAACGAACTATGGATTTAGGGATTGGGAGTTCAAGTTTCTTCAAACACGACGGACATGCTTGCGTCGGAGTCAGCACAGAGTGCGCGGCGGTTACGTCCCTGTGGTTTGGATTGGACAGGCTTACAGAGTCAGTAAATAGTTCACACTGGCTACATTCCATGGTTTGGATTATACTGGCACCTGTATTGCTCTTCTTGTCGCTTCCTTTATATCGATTGTACGTATGGGAGAGGGCGGTCTAAAGATGCTACTCTGCCTTTCGGGCAATGGATGTCAGTCTTCTTGTCACTGTCCACTGATGGAATTAATAGGGAATATCTCATAATAGGGTTGGCAGATCTGAGGAATGAAAATTTGGTATAAGGAATCGGGACTCTTGTTTTTCGTGCTGTGTTTTCTGAACTGGTTGTTTGAAGTTGATTATTCAGGGCGTCCCGATTCTGAATAATTGCCATTATTCAGCACTGCTTGCCTTGTGCATTCTTTTTGTCTGGCTTTGTGTGCTTCAGAGAGAGCTTGGGAGGTCGGTAGCAGAAGCAGATGGCGGTAAACGACTTCTGGCCTGGTTGATAGAGAGTGAAGCCAAAGCGGCAGCGCAAGATTGCAGCCGTAAGGCGCCAGCACCTGCGCGGCCGATAGCTTCCTGTCCTCTGGCGACACCCACCTTCGCTGTGAACACAGGACATTTTCAGCAATGTTTGGTCGACCAGCACGAGCAGCAGGATGGCCGCCAGGGTCAGCAAGTCGACATGCGGAGTCGAGTTATCGTCCGCCTGTCACTACAATGCCACGAAGCAAATGAATTTGTTACGTTGCCGCAGGCCGCAAATTCTGGCTGGCCCGGCGTAATCGGCGCATCGATAAGTGAAGCGGAGCAATTTGAAGCGGATGTAGATGTGGAAGAGGAGGTAGAGGAGGATGAAGAGGACGAAGTAGAGGAAGAGGAGGAGGAGGAGGAAGAGGAGGGAGAGGAGGAGGAGGAGGAGGAAGAAGAAGGAAGGCTTAGCGATGATGGGATGATAGCCTATACAGGAGGCCACAATCCACGGCCTAACCGACCTGCTTACCTTCATTATAACAATGATCAGCAAGCCTCGTTCGGTTCCATCCACGGGTGCTTGCTTGAGAATGTGACGCCACCTTTGCGAGAATCACACTCCTTGCACCCAAACCTCACGCTTATCGGTTGCCAAAGAGATACCGGTACCGATTCTTCCACAATAGGTGCTGGGAGCAGCAGCTCCATCTGCTGTGCAGCTCGCGTCCGACGAACTTCACTAGACCCAGCTGTTCTACCTCTTGTCGTGGACCAAGGGACCAGAGCTTCTCAGTACCTGGAACCAATTCCTTGTCCAAGAGCCGGTCCAGGAACGCTACGCCCAGAGGTGCACTTCATGTCTCTTCATGACAGTAATCACCTTACACAGAGGACATGTGGGCAAGTTGTTGATGCAGCAAGGGATTCGAATGCGCCGCAAACTGGTGGGATGATCAATATGATGAGCTGCCGAGTACCCGACAGCAATTCAGAACCAGTCGCTCCACAGGATGGAGGTAATGGCCCTGTACCATCGGGAGAGGATGACATAGAAGGCTGTCTCATCGCAGCTCGTCAGGGTCAGAGAGATTCTGCGCCCTGCCACGACTCTTCAGTCGCTCCAGTAGCCGGCGGCGCTGCTGGCACGACCAGCGGCGGCGAACCAGTTGACCAGGTTGCAGGAGGCAATGGTTCGCGTAGAGTAGAACAGCGACACAACCTGAATAGCCAGGAACTTCCTCACCGGAAGAGGGTCTGCCTGCGGGCGTAGTTGGGGTGAGACCGTGAGGGAGAATATAAGTATGTAGAGTTTTCTGCTTAATATTTGGTGGAAGCATCCTTTTCGAAGACGAACGGTGACCTCACGCAGCACGCGCGCACTGGTGGGCCGAAGTCTTTTGGTTCTCTGTGCGATAAAATCTTAGAAGCTGCGCTTCTTATCCCACAGCATGCATGACATTGCCACCTTAAAGTTACGCCGAGGTACCGTTTGTTGTATCAAGCCATCGGTTGACTAACCAGCAGGGCAGACATTGAGGCCTGGAAAAGGCTCATCTCATCCGGTGACTAACAAGCTATATCATCCTAACCCGAAGGACGACATGTTGATCGGCGATCGACAATGTGTAGCTTTCCCGTTGGTCCGCCGACGACCACTGCACAATGTCGTCGGTTAGCGCAGAGATAGCTCGCTGAATGGCTAGACATAGCCAGAGTGATGAATTCAGATATCTCGCTGGATGGCCTACCGTCTTCACCCGAATAGAACGCCCGGTCATTATCGCTCCATCTGGACTGAAAAATGCCCCAAATACAGCTCTATGATGACCGGGCGTTGTATTGGGGTGAAGACGGTAGGCAGCTGCATAGCCAGATGTATCTCAATATCTCAATACCGCCTTTTTGTCAGAGTTACGTAGCTGTATATGTCATCAGGACTGGTGTTCTTCGCCTGATTGGACTGTAGCGTCGTCGATTTCAGTCTGTCCCGTGTCAACAACATTTACTGCGCTGATCCTTTGTTCCTCAGGCACGGCGAGCGGTCGAGTAGCACAGCAATTGTGTTGTGAACGTTACAAATCGCAACGCCTTTGAATTCCACAATGTCCTATCCAGGCACTCTATACGCACAATTTGTCTACAAGCAGGATCAGGATCGTTCCGGAAAAAGATGTTGAGATTCATTTCAGAAATTCGTAAGGCAAGACGAGAGAGCATTCAACAGCAAAGGCAACTCTGACCTCTGACTTGGACAGCCCAAGTCAGACTTGCTATCGAACTCCCGACTCCCATAACCAAGCCAGAGTTGCTCTCAAGTTTCAGCACAGCAATGCGTGCGTGAGACGAGAGAAGAGCATCAGGCAGGCTTTGACAGACGGGAGTCACTGCCCGACAAAGATATGGCACAGATCTGAGCACCGCGGAAAGGACGGGAGACGTCCTGGCCCGGCTGCGCTTCCTCGTGTGAAACACGCAGGAGAGGAGTGGTAGTTGAGATGCATAGTCAGGGTATGGGTATGGGTATGCCTTGCACTCCCCCGGGGGGAGGGCACAAAGTACTAGAACCTGGAATAACAACTTGTGGATATTGAATAGGAGAGGTTCAGGCTATTGAATATTAGAAGGTTCGGTAACTTCTGTTTCAAGTAGAGAGCTGATCAGGGGAAAGTAGTTACGACGTTAGACGTGAGCGTGCATGGAAAGCGGTGAGGGTAATGCAATGAAGAAGGCAGCGGTTGCAGCAGCGGATGCAGGAAGACGAGCGCGGGGGGAAAGAAGGGACCGAGTGGCGAAGGAAACAAAACCACCAAGGGTACCAAGGAAGACGGGCGCGATCGGCAGATTTTAAGAACATTGGACGACAACGTATGCGGCCTGCCATCTGCTTCTCGGTTGGAACAGGACGCTTCTGTGGAAGCAAATAAAGGTAATTCCCACACTGCTATTGAGCTACAGAGAAAGTTACAACGATTGCTGCCTTCAGTGCGTATCCCCTGGGCAAAGGGTTCGCCGTTGTATATTGCCACAGCTTTGTATTTTGTTCTCATGTTTATATTATTCCCTCCTTTTTTGGTGCGCATTTTTTGTCAAATGGCACCCCTATTTCTGCCGTAGGGGAGCACTCGATGCTAAAGGCCGATGTGGCCCTGTTTAGTGGCCCATCGATGACCCAGCGGATGTAGCATGTCCTCCGGGATAACATGGCGTTGATGTAGGATGCAGGTTGAGTGAGATTGCTGTAAGTCTGAGGTCCCACATTGAGGTTTGTTGTTTCTTGCAGTTCACCTGATGATATGCCATGTGGAAATGTCATAAGGTCCAGTCGATTATGTGGCACCATGACGACTCCCATCTTTCTTCGCTTTCATGGCAATGTAGACTTCAAGAATGATCTCCCCCGCCGCATCACTGTTCACTGCTCTCATCTCCTGGCTCCAGTGTTGCATTCCCTGATTGCGTGGTTAGTTTGCGCTAGAGCTCCAGCAGAAGGACGCGCCTACCTGTTATAGATCGTGGGCCGAAAGGAGAACAACGCCAGACGGAGACCAGGATCGCAAAGATGGTGTTTGGTTTAGTGTACACATGAAGTAGGCGGTGGTTTGTCAGTTGCACCGATGACGTAGACCTGGCTGTGTTGGTTGCACCCAGAAGTCCATGACCAAACTTGGGTCAGTTTTGGCTGTAGTAAACATGTGCACACTGCACGGTGACATGTTGGGAAGACCTCCCGATTCCGACATCGTGATTCTCATGAACCGCTGTTTTTTTTTCTTATTGCAGTAGGAGTGTCGAGTGCATGCACACTCTGCCTTTTATTAATTGCCCCTGCCTCTCTCTCTCTCTCTCTCTCTCTCTCTCTCTCTCTCTCTCTCTCTCTCTCTCTCTCTCTCTCTCTCTCTCT